AACAATACCTCCTATGTCTATATCCCTTTGCTAGATGTTAGGAAGAACACAAAGAAAGTAAATTTTTCAAGCTGGAAAAAGAATGAATAAATACATGAAACTGCTAGAAAACAACTCTAGAGCAATACAGAGGTTATCTAATTTTAAGCTGTAGTAGCTTAAAATTGCACTAAGACTTTTGGAACAAACAGTATAGTATAAGAAATAGTGTAATGGTGTGATCTACATTGTATAAGGTTTACATTATGTACAGTAAAGGAACTAACTTTAAAATAAAAGAATTTATACACATCCACAAGAGTATTGTAATCTTCAAAGTAGTGACTTTAGAAGAATACACTTATTCCAATGATATAACTACTACTCCAAAAATTTTTTTTTGATTTTCTCTTTTGGGATCTGACCTTTGAACTAGTCTTGATGTGAACCTTGAAGGAAGCCTAAGATTTAGGATGTATGTAGAAGAGTAAACTGTCAAACTGCATAATTCTCCTTGTATATTACTGGTCAGGAAGAGGTAGGACTAAATTGCTGAGGTCCATTTTTATGCTATGATTCTGTGACTAATACTTTTTTTATTTTTTTAACACAATCTCTTTCCAAACTAAAGTTACATCTTATAATAAGCTCTTATACCTCTTCATTCTACACCTCCAGGCTCTTGGGTACCATGTTAAATTCTATCCTCTGCCCTTGAAGCTTCAAGATGATAAATGCCTAGTCTTCCCCTCTATCCAAAGGTTTGCACTAAATTTCCACTAAATGATGATGATGATGATAATGATGATTTAAAATTTTACATTTTATAGCTCTCTATATTTTTAAGTATTTTTTCATTTAACTCATTTGATCCTCATAACAACCCTATGAAGTAAGCAAAGCAGGAATGGTTCTTCCTATTTTACATATGAGGAAACTGAGACTCAGGAAAGATAAGTAACTTGACCCAAGACACAGCAAATGGTAGTCAGAAATATAACCCAGACCTTATGACTCCTAGTCCATTCTCCTTCCAAGGCAGCCACCTTACAAGTAACTATATTGTACATAGAATTTTAAAGAATAAATAAACTCTTTACTCATGCAAAATTTACTCACATATGTATATGACTACATCTAGTTTAAGATATTCAATAGGAAATAGGTAATGTCAGGGACTAAAGCTCAAGGGAAAGACTGGGGCTATGTGCATGTGCGTGTACGTGTACAGGTGCATGTACATGTGTCTATAATATCTGTGAGTCATCTCCATAGAAATGATAATTAGACCCATGAGAGTTGATGAGGTTACCAAGAGAAAGAATGCAAAGGGAGAAGAGGACAGAATCTTGGGGAACATCCATAGTTAGAAAGTGTAATGGAGACTGAGGAAGGATCAGATAGTAGAAAGAAGTCAAACCAAGAGAGAGTAGTGTCAACCATCTGGAAAATTCATTCCCTGGTAATACTGGGTAAATAATGCTTTTTCTGAATATGTCCTAAATTAAAAAAAGAAAAAAAGATTGAAGACTACCAGTGGTGCTAGCCAATTAGCAAATTAATTTATTAGGCTACCAGTTCCTTCACTAAAAGCCATCTCTCATGCCCCATTGTGCAGTCAAGATGACTTTGAGTTCTCTAAGGTTATGGCAATGTGATGCAAACTCTAACAGATCCTAACAAGCCAGCAACACTGTGACTGCAGCCCAGTTATAGAATGTGTGTCTGCCACCCGAGGAACCTCATCACCAGAAGGCTGACCATCACCTGATGAATTATTTTTAGCCATAATAGTTAATGAAAACACTCTAGTGTGGCATAAAGGGACTGCTGTCTACATCAGTACATGTAATACTGTTACCTGATGAAATCCAGAAGTTTTTTTTAATATATTGAATTATGGCTTCATTGCAAACTCCAACCTTTTGGTTATTTGAGGTAAAGTTTTCTGACTTTGTTAGAAGCATAACCGCCTTCAGTGAACAATAATATGATTGGATTTCCAAAAGTATGTTGAATTTTACCATTTTGCATTTCATTTCCGGGACAAAAGTTCAGTCAATATTTTTGCATTGTCACTTGAAATCAATATATTTTTCATCCTTCATATTAGAATATTATTTCATTAATACGACAATAGTTCTTCCCTCATTCACCTATCAGTTCCCTAGTTGTTAATGTACACACAGAATCAAACAAAATGTTGCTGTTTTATTTAAGTAATTTGTTTAATTGACAATAATAACTCATTGTACTTTAATGAAAATTTGGTACACCTAAATCAAGTACTAAAAAGAACTTGGCACACTCGAACAAATACTTGCTTGCATTTTGGAAGGAATATGACCTCTTAGTGGATGGTGAAGAAAAAAATGGAGTTTTACAGGAAAGCTACAAGATTTCTGAAACTAAGCTGAAATATACCCACAAAAGCAAATCTCTAAAGAGATAGGATAAAAAACTAATGGAACTTGAAGCAATAAGTCAAGTGTCTCCCAAAACCCTCAGACATTAAAAAGTAAGGACTGGAAAAAAAAAGATGTCATTAAAATAAATAGGACAATATAACACTCTAGCAACTGCCCCACTTTGTTTTCCTCTTTTTCTTAAAAAAAAAAAAGAAAACAAAAGAAAATCTTAAACTTCCTTTCGAAAAAATTCTACTATGAGAAAACTGTCAGATCCATCAATATCTCATCCAGCTCAGCACTGCTATCTGTCAAACATCACTCAGGTATGAGATCACTATAATTGACATTATCCCACACAAAACTACTAAAACAAACTTCAGAATCCAAAATCTAAAGAAGAACCCAACAAAAAGAGATAGAATTCAATAAATGTGGCACAAAGACCAGAAACCACATGACAGATACAGAGAGATACTGATAGGTTTACCTAGACATCATGTCACTTATGTATGTATGACTTTGTTTGCAATGCAAGTGACACATTTTTCAATACATATCTTTAAAAAAAAAAAAGGAAATCAATGACCTGATGATGGTTGGGGCAGCAGCAGATGTGTTTAGATGTGGTTCCACACAGCCCAAGAAAACTCCAATGATGCTACAGATCAATATTATGCTTTGGGCCATGCCTAGCACAGGGCCAGGTTCCTCCTTCTCCTGCCCCAACATTATTATTACTTCTAAAGTTATGATGTGAAGAACACTTTTCTATCACTAAATCCAACCCACATGCCAAATCATAGCCTCAGGATCCATCATCCTGCCTGACACAGGTTGGCTCTGCTTAGACCTGGGCTTCCTTCTCTGGAGTCTCTCCCCCAAATGACTCACCAGCCTGATGAGTCTGCTTAGAAATTCGCACACAGCCTTCACAAACCCCATTCTTAAATCCTGCTATTGGAGGGTTTGGGGAAGGTAATGCCTTCCCTTCTCACAACCCTTCCAACTTCAGCCTTTTTTCTACATCTTACCCTGTCCTAAAGAAACTCCATTCCCTTCCCCTCCAAATCTTAGCTGCAGGGGAAGTCCTAACTTCCCTCCTCCCCAACATAATATCCCTTAAAAGTCTAAACTCCTTGAGACCAGGGATTATTTTAATTTATTACATTTGTGTCCCTTGGGTCCCAATGGCACAGTACTGGCACATAGGAGGTGTTTCATAAATGCCTATTCATTGATTAATTCTTTACCAATGTAATTCTCACAATAATCTAATTGGGTAGTTAAAAGGCAATGGGAGACCAAGACTGAAACCAAAAGCTTTACTGTGAGTTTAAAAGATAAACCATCTTCCTGCCTTAACCTCTGAACTAACTCTAACTTCCTGTTTAAGCTAAGTCACCAGCAAAACTTCTAAGAGTTTCCCCATATGTAAACACTGAGATAATGTTTCTTGGACTTTAATAATGAGCATGGCTTTTTGTTACCAGGCTCTTTCATCTTCAAAGTGCATGGCTTATAAAAAGAGTGAAAATAAGAAGTGTTGTGCAGATTAATTAATTAATACTTGTAAAGTACTTTGAAGATAGAAAGTGTTAAATGTTACCATTCTAATAACTTCACAAGTGTCAGGTTAACATTCAGGTTATTATTCCACACAAAATAAGCATTTGTCCTTTACACAGTTTCTAACATAGTGTTTATCACAGATTTTTCTATTTTGTTCTTACTTTTCATATGAAATGACTTTTAACTGACGAATGCCTGTTTTGTGACTAATAATAGACACATCAGCTTTAACATTTACAAAGTCCTTTACACTATCTCACTTGAGTCACCCAACAATCCTATTAGTACTACAGATATTATTGCCCCCATTTTACAGATGAGGAAACTGAGCCTCATAGAGGTTAAGTGACCTGCCTGTGATTATACACTTAATGAGTGTGAAAGGCAGGATTAGAGCTCTGGTCCAAATCTAAGAGGCTTCTATGAAGTGAGTTTATAAAGCTATAAACTCTGATGCTACTTGTTACAAGCAACAGTGAAACCCACCATTGTGTCTCACCTCCAGGCTTTCTATAAAACCTCGAAGGACCTTGCAAAGCTACCACCTCCACAGGACACTTGTCAAGTGTTAAATGTTAGACTTGCTTAGGTCCCACAAGGCTTGGGCAAAGTGATGGTCCTAATGGCTACTCCCCAGTTGTAGGCTGCCAACCTCTAGCATGGAGGAAGGAATAAAAGGTTACTGGGGAAAAGCAGTCACAAGGAAGTAGGTAATGGGAAGGTTTGGTAGAGAGTAACAGAGGGGAAACAATAAAAGAGGAACAGAAGATATTTAAGGGAGGTGGGAGAGAGTATAAAGAGACACAACAGGAAGATGGTGGGAGAGAGCCATGCAGGTGCAAATGCTGCCAAGTGATCCCACACCACTCTGCTGTTTAAGGACAAGCCCCCAATGCTACAGATCACTTGTGAGATATCACACCATGAGTGATATCACCAATCTGTCCATTTGGAGAGTTTTCCTGTGCAGTGCTGCAAGAGCACATGCAATCCCTCCTATCAGCATAACAGTGAATTGGGGGGAAAAAAATTATTTCTTACCAGTTTCCAATGAAACGAGGGTCATTCTGGTCAAGATGAACGGGCATTCTGGGATCAACATAAAAACCAATAAGAACTCCACCTAATAAATATCCTGCTGCAGGACCAAGTGCTCCCATGACATACATGATGGCTGAGAAAATAGAAGGGGAAAATCATGAACTACAGCGATTTATTTTGTGAAAGTTTTGCTACTTCTCTAAGTCAGCCAAAATTATAGCAGACATATGTCACCATCAGAGTCCGTGAGCCAGCAAAGGTCCTTCAATGACTGGCAGTCTGGAAGACTTTGACAGGTGTTAATACTTCTATTCTAAGCCTTATCCATTTATTTAACTAATGGCTGTTGTTCTCTTGGAAATCCTTAGGATATCAAGGGGATGGGGTGGGGACGGGGATAGCAATTAGTCAAAAAAAAAAAAAAAAAGACATCAACAAGGCATATTGACTACTTAGCCAAACCCAAAAAGTATCATTTTGAAAAGTATAGTATATAGCTAAGGACCCAAGTCCCAACATAAATACAATTTACTCATGGGCATTAGTCAGATCTTAATGTGAAACCTATGTAAGCATATGCTGAACATGTGACCAGTGCTAATTCCTACATGGTATAACACAGAGTAAGCTGGTTGCCTGACTTTATTCCTAAACCCTCCAAGGTTATTTGGTAAAAGGTAAGCATTCAAAAGCAACAGATAGGAAACAAAGACAAAGTGTAAGGAAGAAGGGAGACAGAGACAAGGGAAGGAAGAGAGAGAGAGTGAGTGAGAGAGAGAGAGAGAGAGAGAGAGAGAGAGAGAGAGGGGGGGGAAGAGAACACATACAGAGAGCAAAAGATAGAGAGAAAGAGAAACATTCAGAGACAAAAAAAGAGGAAAAATAAGTCACAAAGAAATGATATATTGTGATCACAGCCTCCCGTACAAATGTTGAGACAATTGGGAAGAGCATGTCAGACACAGAGCCTAAAATCTCTCTCCACTTCAAAACCCCTAGTACCTTACAGGCTATTTCAAAATCAAAGAAATCCTCAATAAGACATTTGGTTAATTGTTTATCATCAAATTATGCTTAAAAGAGATTACATCCCTAAAGGGGCTATATTGTTGTTGTTGTTTGCCCTTACTTCTTGAAGAGGACCAATGGCATCAGGAGGGTGATGTCTTGACTTGCAGGTGAATTGGATTTAAGTGAGCCAGACCTGTGCAAAGTCATCAGCCTCACTCTCTCCTCCAGGGTCATTGGAGTCCAATGACAAGATATAGGTCAGGACGACTACAGATGATCCTGGATGCAGTAGGAGACCTTGGACTTTTTAAGCTAAAGTCTTTCCCAGGTCTCAGTTTGTTTGAGGCAACAGCAAAGAGAATGAACTACGAACAGTGCTAATCCATTAACGCAACATGAAAACAATTGGAAAGATCCCTTGCCCTACTGAAAAAGGAACAACAGTATCCTCTTCTTTTAGAAAGTAAAGAATTTTTTAAATCATCATTTAGGTTGAAGTGGTTTTATATCAACAAGTTTTTTTAAAAAGTTTAATTAGCATGCTCTTTAAGTGTTATAATCAGGTTTGACCTTTTTTTCACTTATGGATTTAAAATATTAAATTCCTTGATGATCACAAAGAAACCTAGACAATCAATTCTTCCTCCACCATCCCCATGGCTTTTTTTTTCCTTTTAAAACTCCTTTACATTTTAGGAACATTCTTAACTTAGAATATGGTCTGGATGCTGATCAGAATTGTGTTTCTTAATTAGGAATTCATTCATTCATAAACATTGTTAAGCATCTATTGCGTGCAAAGCATTTTGTTAAATACTAGAGGAGATACAAAGATAACTAAAAAAGATGTAAAAGCTAACAAGCTAGACCAAAGATGACTTTAAATCCCTGAATAAACAAATTACTTTTCCTCTTTCCTGTAAGTAATGCTATTGCTACAGTGAGGCAAATGAATATGAGCAGAGTGACTGTGCATTTTCTTAAACATCTGCTTCTAAATAAGAGTTGACTAATCTTAAATCTCCAGTTACACATGCCTACAGTTGGCTAGGCAGCTCCATGGCACCTGTTCTCACTTCTTGCACTATTTCAAAAGAGAGAGAATCTTAAAGGAACATCTAATTGCACCAACCATGACTGAGCCATTAGACACTTGCCATTTTTAAACAGATGCTGAAGGGGCTGTGGAAGCAAAGTAGCAAGCATTTGATAGTCATTGTAAGCATTTTTATAAAAAAATTTTTTACAAATCAAAGCACTGGTTCAATAAATCCTTCCACCTCTTTTTTATTACCTGTTACAAATCAAGAACAGAAAGTCTGTTTTGTTATTAACTACAGAAATTCTTACATACAAGAAATAGAGGACTGAACATGCTATTTCACCAGTATATGAAACTCCTTGGTGAAGAAACTCCTTCTAAAATTCAGGTCACTACATTCTCTGCAATTTAAAGTCTTAGATAGTGGTCTAGAGCACCTGAGATTAAGTGATTTGCCCTAACTCCCACAGACGGTATGTGTCAGTGGAAAGACGTGAATTCAGGTTTTTCCAGCTCCAAGACTGGCACTCTACCCTTTTGGATAACATTTTAAAAAATCACAGGGCTCCGCTCTGATTCAGTATCCTAAAAAATACTTAATACATTAGAGCAGTAACTCGGTAAAGTAAATGCAAGTGCCTCCAACACTCAAAAGTCTTTCAGCGGCTCCCTCACTGACTATACAATAAAGTTTACGCTCCTTAGTCAGGCATTCAATAGGGTCCACAATTTGGACTTAAGCTACTGTTAAGGGAGCAGAGAGTGGTAGGAAAAGTACTGCACTAGGAATCAGAGGATGTGGGTTTGAAGCCTTTCTCTGCTCTCTGTTTTTTGGTGTAACCTTGGGCAAATCATTTAATCTGTTAGTTTCAGTTTCTCAGTCTCCAAAATCTGTCTCCCTGCCAGGGTTGTTGTGAAGATCAAATCAGATTATGTATATGATATGATAAATTGTTATATGAAAAGCACTACACAGATGTAAAATAGGGAGGCAGTATGAGCTGGGGTATGGGCAGATAGGCGGCTCAGTAGATAGAGTACCTGGCCTGGAGTCAGGAAGATCTGAGATTAAATTAGGCCACAGACACTAGCTGTGTGACCCTGGGCAAGTCACTTAATTCTACTTGCCTCAGTTCCTCATCTATAAAATGAGATGGAGAAGGAAAAGGCAAAGCACTTCAATATCTTTGCCAAGAAAACCCCAAATGGGTTCATGAAGAGTTGGACCTGACTGAACAACAAGATCTGGAGTAGTATTTCTTAACCCAAACTTTTTCTTGTTCTAGTCGTTCTTTTTTCCAGTTGTGTCCAGCTCTTTGCAACCCCATTTGAGGTTTTCTTGGCAAAGATACTGGAGTGGTTTGACATTTTCTTCTCCAGCTCATTTTACAGATGAGGAAACTGAGACAAACAGGATTAAGTGACTTGCCACATAGCTAGTAAGCCTTTGAGGCTGGATTTGAACTCAGGAAGATGAGTGTTCCTGACTCCAGGCCCAGCACTGAATCCACTGCACCACCTAACTGCCTTTAAACCAAGCTAGAACTGGCCAAAGACTTAAATGTTCTACTTCCCCAGTTTGCTTAGACCTTCACAATGATGGACGTTAAAAAACAAAGAAAAGGGACTAGTAGGGGAGATAGGGAAAGAAAGCAGCATGCAGGGAGAAAGAGGGGTCATACACTTGGAGACTGGCTGAACAAATTGTGATATATGAATATGTGAAATATTATTGAACCATATGAAAGGATCAGGTGGTTTCAGAGAATCTTGAATAGCATAAACTGATGCGAAGTAAAATGAGCAGAATCAGAAGAACTATTTATACATGGACAACACAGTAAAGAAAAAAAAAACTTTGAAAGACTTAAAAGCTCTGGTCAATGCAATGACCGAAAATATCTTCAGAGGACATATGAAGAAATATATTATCCATCTCCTTGACAGAGAGGTGATGGAGTCAAGGTGCAGAAAGAGACACGTATCTTTGGAGATTCATCTTGGTTTACAATGCTTATTTGCTACAAGGTTTTTTTCCTTCCTTTTCCCTATTTTTAATTAGGGGAGGGAAATTATGGGAGATGAAGAGTTAGCAATAGTGATGAAAAAAGAGAGAGCCATGGTAATATCTTTAAAATGCATAAAAAAAATGTAACAGAAGGAAGTTCAGAACAAAGCACAGATAAGCAGGACCATGTTGAAAATAATGGGTAAGATTTTTTATTGACTTTTTTAAAATGAAATGGAGATTCATGGTTACAGATGCAATCATCTTTCTTGTTCTGTAGTATATATGAAAATTATCTTTTTTGGTATTTAAGTTCAAAATTTTAAAAACTAAAAATAATACAAAAAAAAAACACAAATAAATCTGTGAAACAGTCCCTGATATGAAGGGCACTAGGGAGTAGGAAGAGAGTATTAAAAGTAACAAGCTATAAAATTTGGGAATAATACCTAAAAACAAAGCAAAAATGGCATAAATTACTACCTGTTGTTCATTTTCCAGAGTCTTCCAAGGACTGAAAAGGATCCTGCCAGTAAACCTGAAAGTTTTTCAGCACTCCACAAGGTTATCCTCCAAACTCAAAAATAAATCAAACATTTCTGCGATTCCCAATCAGGGTTTATAGATTTAGTGATTGATTGGTAAAAAGTACAATGGGGAGCCTTGTATAAAGTCTATTCTGGAGGTCAGGATTAATACCCACCTACATCAGTTCTACATCGGTTTTATTATAGGAAATTTTAAAAGTTTAAGTGGATATGATTTGGTTCTATACAAATACTAATCAACCAGGTTGTAATTGATATCTACTAAAGTGAAATATTCATAAATGTCTCCTGCAGTTTTATTCCTGATTTCCTAACCCAGACATCTCATACCCTCCAACTGAGAGCCTAACACATGGTAACTATGAGCAGAAATTGGAAGTTCAGCTGTAGTAGACACTTGAGTTCCATTTACATAAAGAATGGAAACTCACATGGAGTACACGACTATATTATCACTGTAAATAGGATCCACAGAATCATAAAGAGATGGAAAGGATCTCCGAAGTCATCTTCTAGTCCAACCA